AAAAAAAAAGATTAAAAATGTACCATCTCCTTGTCAATTCTCTTCCAAAGAACTAGCATGTCTCTAGCCATTCTCCTTGTCCGGATTGCAGCTCCCCTCATTAGTTTTAGTGATCTACTGACCTTCATTTTTACCTGCAAAAAAGTTGAAATTCAAGCATTTTCTCTGTAAAGACTTTTCAGAGTAAAAAAAAAAAAAGTCTCATAAATGATTAAAAGCAAGTTGGTAAAGAAAAACCGCAGATTGCAATGACATGACTCTAGGAATACGGACCTCTCTTTGACAGGTTTCAGAAACCCTTTTCGCATCGATAAATTGCTTCCTGTGGAAGCTGGTGAAAATCCTGTGGTGTTTTGGAATTTCTTTTCTTGCTATGTTAACCCAATATTTACCAATCTTTTCCATTTCTTCCCTCTCCATGACAGACGGGTCTTTCATCAACTTCGGAAATTTAGGCAAACTACGTTCAATAATCTGCACCACCATATATTCATTCACCCATATGAATATCAATGAAATCATTATGTGAAACCATGAAGGGGGGAAAAAAGAAAAAAGAAAAAGAAAAAAAGAAAGAAAGAAAGAAAGAAAGAAAGAAACTCTAACCTCATATGTATCCCCTTTTTCCAGAACTTTCACGTAATAAACTTGCAAAACACCACCCTCAGACAAAATAGACCGCCTGATACCTCCAGCAGCTCCCTCTGGGATGATATTAGATCTTAATTCGGCTTCACTTATTTTTAAGCCGAAATTATCTGCAGAGTTATTGGCTTGATGTGCTTTCAGTCTTGCTTGAAGAGACTCATACTGGGGTTTGGGTTCACCCATTCCTGAGCTACTCCTCTGCCTAAATTTGCTATCAGAGGCCATCATTGCAGCTAAAGACCCCAAGTCGAGGGTACCCGTCAAGTAAAAATCCTCTACCCATATATCTGACATACTCGGTAAATTCAGGGATGATGATAGCTTTTCATATGGAAGAGGGATTCTGTATGTGATGCCATCACCAATATCCAGAAAGGAGGGTTCCAGATTCGGCCTGTAAAATTTTCATAGACATGCCAGATGAATAATTGGCATCAGTCATGAAGAAATCCAACCAATACACTAACATACAGGTGGATCAACGTCAATACATAATTGTGTACATGAATAATTGTGTATGTTATGCATCACATTCCCAACTGGAATCATACTCACCAGGTATAAAGTAAACTGTGAACAAGCACTTTAACGTATTACATTACGGACAAAATTTAATAACAAAAATATCCTTCCTAGTTAGCATAACGAGTAAAATAACATGTACCTTCAAAATTACAATAAACTCTTAACATTTAAAGTATTTAATCACTTTTGCTAGAATATTCAGTAATATATACCTCACATACTGTTTTGAAAAATACAGGCCTACTTATAGTAACAAAAAAAAAAAAAAAATCATAAAATTAAACCCTAGGTTTATAATTTTCCCCTAATTATAACCATTAGTAACTAGTAAAGTTCAGCAGAAATCAAGACCAACAAAATCTCTTATACATACATAATACATCAATTGTCTTCATAATAAGTGGAGAGAATGAAGCAAACCTGGCAGCAGCATAATGCAGCCCAAAATCAGTTTCCGTATAATTTCCAAGTTTTTTGGAATTACCACTGTTGTGAAAATCCGAAGTTGACTCAAGCTTATGCAGTCCACCTCTGTTGTTATTCACTAAGTTCTGATCTTTCAGGTTTACACTATTTTTCATTCCTGTAGTCCCAGTTCTTGTGGTGGTAGGACTTTGAGAGGAATAATTTGTCCTCCTCTTATACTTCTGGATATGATCTCCAAGCATTGCTCGGTAATGTTCCTCCGAAATAAACGGACTATAACTACCAGTTTCTTCCTCTTCACTGCTATAAGTATTCCGTCTTTTTTTCTTGGATGCCATGTCCAACATTATTCCGTTTACACGCTCCCCTGTTGCTACACCTAATTACCAGAAAACCAACGAACACAAGATATCACCACAAGCCACCAAAATAAATAAATATCAACTCATATGAATGATAAAACTGAAAATAAAAATTTCTCCATGCAAAGTTATTGGCACACAGACAAATAGGCATGTAGAGTGATTGCAAATTGAAAGCAAGTGTCAAAACCGTACGGCAAAAAACGACGAAACAAGAAATGAAAGAGAAACAAACACATATACTCAGAAGCAAAACATAAAATTTCTAGTTAAAACAAAAAAGGAGCCTACCTTGGCTACCTCTGCTCTCATCCTGACTACTATTTCCATAATAATCAAAATCTTCGTCTTGTTTCGGCAGTTGAAAGTTCACCAAAGGCTAGCAAAGATTAAAAAAAAATGGAAAACAGAGAAGACAAACAACAACCAGAATCAATACCACACAAAACCAACAGTTTCATCAAAGTAAACAATCACTAAATCCACAAACCCAGTCATCAGACCAAAACAATTGCGCATCACTACACCACTAGAGCATTCAAAATAACAACTCTCCTCACTCCACATCAAACCCAGACCCAGATCGCCATAATCGAAACTCCCACGCCCTCAATTGCAGACAAAAGGATAAAACAAAAGACCATTTGAAAACGTACCTCAAGATTGAAGAGGTTCGCATAAAAGTGCTTCTTCTTGGAGTCCATGAGCTCTGTTACAGTCAGCACAACGATGGAGCCACGATTTTGCGACGGGCATTGGAGGAGATACGTTTAATTCAGAAAGTGAAGCTTTTCTCTTTTAAGGCGGGCGTCGAGAGAGGCGGTGGAGGAGATGAAGAGTGATCCCTAACCCTAGAGAGAGAAAGAGATATAGAAAGAGGGGTGACGGGGGAGAGAGATAAGGTGAAGAGGAGAGGGAAGCCGGGGCATAGGTGGAGTTGTCCATGGGTCGATGCTAACGTGAGCCGGCTACGAGGGAGCTTGAGCTTTGCTAAAGTGCGCGGGGCTTCTTTTCCTATGCTGTCTCTCTTCTGGTTGAGTTTTTTCTTTTTCTTTTTCTTTTTTTCTTTGTGTTTTGTTTTTCTTATGTTTTAGGAGATTGATAAAAATAAAAAATAATGACCTAATTTTGTAATTGTTTTGAGTAATATATATTGCATAGCCAAAATATATTTGATCCGTTGTATATATTTATATTGAAAATGTATTTTTTTGTTATTAATATCATTTCAGAGTATTATATTTTAATTATAAAGTATGCATATCTACTGAAAATGTATAACTGTTTAGTCACGTCTTCTATAAAAATAAAGGTAATTGTTTGACAATAATGTCTTTCTGTTGTAGATTCTAAGGCTAACAACATGTTTTCGAAAAGTAAATTGAATCTATATAGTTTATGATAATATAAATTAATTTCACTGAATGGTAAATAATAATTTAACCAATATGGAAAATGTGTTATTTATTGTTTTTATCATCACAAACAATCAATATTTTTACAAAGTATCAAATACAACTTAAGAATATAAAATGTATATTTTTTCTAAGTATCTTGATTGCATAACATCATGAAATTAAATAATGTATTTTGGTAAAATAATTCATATAATAAATGAATATCAAATAAATAAGTTTGAGAGGCAACGTAATTTGGGTTCTGGGCATGCATGGTAAGATATGTAGTACAAAACAAATCCCCTCCACATGTATTAATTCAAAACGTGCTGAGCTTAAGTGGTAGACTCGCATGTTTTGAAATCCTACATGTCACAAATATCATGCTTTCATTATCAATTTTTTTATCACACAAATCTTTATTTCTTTATTTTATTTTACTAGTTATTCGTCCCATTCATTATATCCTTTTATTTTTTTGAAGTTGATAAAATTTAACCCATTTTTTTAGTATGTGTATTTGTTTAGTAATAAATAATGATAAATTAAAATTATATGTTATAATTATATGGCTAATATAATTAATGAAATTTTAACTAAAAATTACTCTTATTTTAATTATCATCTTTTATCTTATTTTTTCAAGTTGATAAATTTTAGTAGAACTAAAGAAATTTTTGAGATTTTGAAATAAAATACCAATGTATAGTAGTTTTTGTTTTATGAAACTTCCATTTATTATATTGTATATACTCACAATAACAAAACTCTTTTACTTTTTTTATTCAAATTATTTTTTTCATGCACCCGTGTATTACACGAATATTGTACTAGTTATAATTTGTTTACAAGAAATTTACTTTTCTTGCATGGTTATTTCATTTGGTAGAAAGCATACATCATTGTATAGGTTCTTTTTTTATAAATTAGAAGTTGGTTGATACCTTATAAGTTGTCTGAAAAAGTAATATAATATGACATAAGTGTTTGATAAAGTTAACTGATATCAGTTGATATGAAAATTTTAACGAGCTTATTTGAAGAGTACAAAATAAGCTTTTGAGATAAGCTTGAAAGTTTTAAAAAGGTAATTATATCAAATCAAAAACATTTGAATACAGAAAGTTATAAACTAACTAAAAGTTGTAAGTAGCTCATGGTGCTTACCACACTCTAAATGAATTTTTGATAGCTTGTGACTGATGACTGAAAAGATAGCTTATATGATAAAATTATTTGGTAAAAACTAACTGATAAGCCAACTGAACCAAAAATTTCAACGGCTTATTAAAAAAAACTACCCAAAAATTTCAACGGCTTATTAAAAAAAAACTACCCAAAAAAAACTTATGAGGCAAACAAAAATTATTTGCATACACGATGTTTATAAGCTAACTCAATAAGCTATAAGCTAGAGTGTGGTGATAACAAACACATCTGTATTCTTGTAATTCACTTTCTCAATTGGTTCATGACACATTAAAACTCATTTTGAGTTCAAACATGAAAAAAAAATTAACATAATGGATAAGCCAAACACCTTGACCACACCCCACATCCACATGACATAGATAAAATTGAATACTATTTCTCTTAAATAGTATAAAAATCAATGATAATTAATATCCATGCCCTGGCATTCTCAAAGCTCAGGGTGATACATGTACACAGATCTTCCATCCAAACTCTGAGTTGGTCTTGCATTCTCCTCAAAACCCTACAAAAAAAAAAAAGGAAAATTATATCTTTCAAAAAAATAATTATGAAAACAATAAAATATAGGAAAATGTTACGGTCCCGTTACGGAACCATACTGTCGAGATTTGTAACCGTTAGACCATCATATAACCGTCGAGTATAGTTGATCTAACGGTTACAAACCCCGACACGAATTTTTCCGTAATGGGACCGTAGCCTTCCCCTAAAATATATATTTACATGCATCATGAATATTTTCCAACTGATGTCTTGATTTAATTGTACTTACATCATCGACAGCATCTCTCAATGCCCTTAGTTGCTCCCTTGACACTGTCCTCACCTACACAAAACAAATGGCAATATGTAATAATATTTATTTCTAGAGTTCAATTAACAATGCCATAATCAGTTTTTTTTTACTATAAAGCAATCGGATGATACGATTTATGGAATTCTCGTGCACAATTATTACAAATGGTGTACTGACACTAACCTTTGTAAGCAGTGTCCAAATAACACCTTCAGTGCATGGTGGGACTGTAAGAGAACCAATGTATCTGTAGTATTTTCTACTTCCAAACTTGATTTCCCATGGATTAACAACACCCAATTCATTTCCCTCCTCATCATTAAGTGATGTTATATTTGATAAAAGCTGAAGAAAGAAAAAATACTTCAAAATTTTAGTCAGACATTAATTAAAAAAAAAAAAAGAGTTTTTTTTTTTTATCTTAAATTATCAAGTTGAAACATTAGCAGCATGATGATTGATGACTAAAAAAGTATATTTATTTTTTTTTTATAAAAAAAATTGGGACTAAATTAGGAAAATTAATAGTGATTATATAGATAATCAAGGCTTAAATTGGGCTAAATTTATAAGAGCAACCCACCTTCGTGAGAAACGTATCTGGACGGCCCAATGCATACAAAATGCCCACGACGGCAATTTGTCCTTGTGAGTTGTTATGAACCATATGCAACTCCATATTAAAGCTGTAAAAATAAATAAATAAATAAATACCTAATTAAGCATGAGTAATAATAATAAGTGTTGAAATATATAATCACTCGTTAAATTTATAGGTCAACAATATAATTATGTTGAGGAAATCTTATTTCATTTTGTATAGTAAAAGAAAAAACAATTTATTTTATTTATTGTTTGAAATGTCTGTTTTTATTATTTTCAAATCATCGGCAAATTTAATCGTATCGTGTGGAAAAAAAAGTATTATCCATCAGATCACACACAATACTTGGATATATGATTTTATCCAAACAATTGAAACAAGTGTAGGGAACTTTTAACCAAAAAAAAGAAAATAAGATGGCTAATTAATATAATATTGAGACATGTGAGAACATAGTGTCCTTAAAACAGATTCGTATCGTATGAGCGTTTGTTTCTCATGATACAACAAAAAAACCGAATCGAATTCGACGAATTGAAAATTATGCCTCAACCAAAACACGCTATAATAGAAAAATTGGGGAATAAGCTTTTAGAAATATAGTCTTTTTTCTTTCTTGGGTTTTTGTATGTTCGTAAACCTCAACCAAAGCCTATATTTATATGGGCTTGATGATAAATGTGCAACAAAAGCATTAACTCCCAAAATTTAGAGAAATGGAGTTAATATTTTGCACCATTTATAACATAACATCTTCCAACATTAAAGAATAAGTTACATATTAAATTTGCAAAATGAATGTTAATGTTATGTTTTGTTTCATTCAATTTTTTCCAACAAGTGCTCCACATGCAATGCATAATAAACTTTACCAAAATTAATTATTTTACCATTCCAAACCAATTATGAGGGTGAAATAACATTCATCATCATCAACCAACAACAACAACAACAACAACAATAATAATAATAATAATAATAATAATAATAACCTTTTCCCATCAACACGGTGTTCAGAAGGAGTATGCCAATGGCATTGGATTAAGTTGTACCGTGTCTCGTTTATAATAATTCCCCCTGCATCCCCTTTCCATTGCACCTGATTTAGAAGAACAATTAACATTAAAAAATTACAAATAATTAACAATAATAAGTATTTCAATAAAATAAAAATAAAAATAAATGTGGGCAGAGTTTGTCATAAATACTCATAATAATAATAATAAAATACATTTTTATTTTCCCTTCACAAAAATTACCATAATATCATGTCCTCGATTTCTGACTACAGCCAGGGCCGGTTTGTACGTTCTCCTCAATTGCCCGAGCCCCGACAAGAGCTCGACTTTTTCGTGTCGTAAATCGATCGGAGATTGAAAGTTTCCGGTATCGCAAACTCGCCAGTTTGGATTGAGGTCCCCCCAATGCTCGGGACCCTTCTCGGTATTCTCCTCATACGTAAACGGATGTTCGTCCTCTAATAATTGAACAACATACAAAATCAACTTCACACACACGTTATATATAATCGTGTGTTTTTTTTTAAAAAAATTCTTGTGTGAGATGACCTAAAGACTCTCTTCGGTTAATTAATGTATTGTTGACCTGTCCAAAGGACTCAAACAGGCCCAGAAGTATATAACTCATTTTACGAACAAATACAATAATGCGACATTTTGTGTAAAATTTTTGTAGATGGATAATAATTGCGATATTCATACCAACTTCAATTTCATTTGTCGAGCTCACGAATGTCGTCGAAAGGTTGGCCAAAAGTAGGCACGCCGTGAAAATTGCCGGAAAGTGCATGGCCATGATGAACTAATTGTATAGATTCCGACGATTGCCGCCGTGAAGAGGTGGTTGTTTTTTTTTTTTTTTTAATTTCCTAACTAATTTTTAAGAAAGGGTTCTAACTATTGTAAGTATAGAATTAGTGGGAGAAATAAGAGGATATATAGAGAGTGCTCCGGAGATTGTGGAGGACAACGTTAAAATAGCCACGAATACCTAATAAAATGGCTTGTTCGTGACATTCATGGGTTTGACCGGGCAAAAAAAATAAAAAATAAAAAATGAAATCTTATCTAAGTATCATATAAATATTGTGAAATTATATTTGGGCTACTTGTTTTTAGCTATTTGGTTTATTTGGGGGAATATTTACTATTTTAAATTTTAACTAGAATGTTAGGTACAAATTTAGAGATTTTGCAAAATCGAACTATCATTGTATGTAATGTTGTCATGGTGATTGGAAGGCAAAATTTAAAAAATGTTCGACTATGTTGGCCATTTTCCGAAAAAGGTCCATCTTATAGGGAGTCATCAAGAATGGTCAACTAAGTTGCTATTTTAATCACAATTCGTACAAAAATCAACATAGTGTAGTAAAGTGATCATTTTTAGTTGTCATTTTTTTTTTTTTTTGGTAGCCAGTCACGGTATCCGAAGCTATGCCCCAACTAATTCGTGGTTGACCAGGGTCGCACACCTAGCAGTGGTGGGTGAGTCTCCCAACAAGGGTTTTCTGCATCCACAAGGACTCAAACCCGAGACCTTGCTTAAGCGACATCAAGCTGCTTACCACTTGAGTCAACCCCTGTTGATATTTTTAGTTGTCATTTTTAGTACACTAAGTAGGCAAATGTACGCGATCTGATTAAAACGACAACTTAGTGGACTATTCTTGATGATACTCTACATGATGAACTTTTTTTGAAAAAATGACCAACATAGTGTACTAAAAATGAAATATATCCGTGATTGGAATGTTGATTTTAGGAATCTATAAATATGATTTATGATTGTCTATTGATTCATACATAGATTAGCTTATATAGTTATACTTCATTAACAGTCAAATTTTGAGATATTGAATTTAGGTAAAGTATATTATTGGCACATTTATATATATATATATATATATATATATATTCTTACCAGTAAATTTATCGAGAAACACTACAGTACCGTGAGAGATTCCCTCAAATCTGTTCGTGGTTTTATATAACACATATATAAATATGTATAGGACTAACCTTTATGTAGCGGAAGCGAAAACTTGCTCGTATCTTTTATCCGACGGCTACTAGAGTCGTCGGTATACTCCACGTTCTAAAACTCGAGCCGCCTTGTGATGGTTTCGGCTCAACAAAAGAAAAACACTATATAAAGATATTTGTATATTTTCCTAGTTTATTTCTTTGTCCTCGTAATGTGTGTTTTCATGATGCACAAAGCATCATATTTATACTTGTTTTCATGGAACTCAATTAAATGAAGACTTTAAACACACTTCTCATAACTCCATACTTAATGGAGGTTGTAACACCATCATCTTTAAGTGGATGCTACTAATTGATGCAAATAACATCAATTAAAAACAATAAAATCAATATAAGTTATTAAATGTGTTAGTTTTTATATGAGCTTTTAGATGTGTTACAAAAAAAGTGATGTGCAATTTTTAATTGGAGTTTGATATCAAAGAATGGTCTTTTTACGGAAGCGTAGTATTTTCTAAATTTATTAATATTTTCCAAATTTATTAAGAGCAAATGTCATGCACAAAGACAGTGAAAACACAACACACACTTTCATCACTTCCATAACAAAATTCCCAATTCCAGTGTGTACATTTGATGACACATCATATATCCAATCCAAATACTATAAAATCACATAAACATATGATACATGAATTAAGCACAAACTTTCAACAACTGTGTACATTTTATTTCTTTAATTTCAGCATTTTCCCCATGCCACATAAGTGAACATTTATCCAAACTCTTCGCTCGTTTATCGCTGCCCGATCGCGCGCGACCTCGGAAAAATCCTCTGCCCGGGAGCCAAGATTGCTAGAGGATCGTAATCCGACTTCCTTCTCGAAAAAACTTCCCATCGCGACCCGAAATGCTCTTTCCACTCTTCTGTAGTGCTGTAATAAGGCAAATACTGTTTGATCCCGAGTTTCGACTTCTTGCAGTAATCGAGAATCTTTTTGTTCCGAGTTAAAAGTCTATCCAAACGATCTTTACCCACTGCCGTAGATAAAAATGCGACTAAGTAGAAAACATTCTCATCGGGCGTGATTAGCGACTTTCGATGTACTTTCCACCTTCACAATCGTACAACAATATCGGTATAAAGACGAACACTTGCCGCAAAATAAATAAATAAATTACTATTTATGGTACCTTGATTTATCAACCGGATAGATTAGAACAGGACCACTGCTCGTCTCCTTAACAACATTCCCGAAAATTTTTTCCGCGAATTCATGAATGCTGCTTTTCGGAACAAAAAGATTCAACCAGGGGTGAGGTACCTCCCATAAGCCCTTCTCTCGGAGGGTAATTTCGGAAATGTGCACTCGGTCGAGAAAATCGACATACGAGACTTTCGTCTCGAATAGCGTGGACTTGATGTAGCTCAATCCCGATAAAATATTTTCGATTTCCTGCACGAATAAGCAAAAAGGGCCACTAAAAAAAATCTATAACCCTAAAATTAAATTGTTTTTGTCGCTTTTTCAAGTCTTGCCTGATCGACGCAAGGAGAATCTTCGCGCTGGAAATATTTCGCAACCTCTAAGCAAAACAGAATCTTTCCATCGGACACAAATTGGTCGGCACGGACAGGATCTCTAGGAGTGAAATTCGAATTCCAGTTCTTCAAAAGGCTCGTTTTATTTATGGCGACAAAGCCTTCAATGTAGTCGAAAGAGTTCTCGGAAGATATGAGCAGTTCTTGGTCGGTTGTGAACGCGGAAAAATCCGAGTAAAGTGCTCTTATCCACTTAACCTGTTAGAAAACAAGACACAGCTACTCTGTTTAGTTATGGACATTTTTATCTATGTCTTTTTTGTCTAATCTTAATTGAAAACATATATTACTTAGTTATTTACCATAGTTGGAGCTGGCTCAAGTGCAATTCTAGCCTGTGTTATGATACCAAATTGTCCTAATCCTCCGAGCACAGCTTCGAAAAGATCGGTATTTTGTTCTTCCGAACAATTCATGATTTCTCCTCTGCCTGCCCAGAGCAAAAATTAAAAACAAAAATCTAAGATCATGTCGATCATTTAAACAAAACGAATAAAACCCAATCGTCGAACGCGCATTGTTCTGTTTTTTCAGGAAAACCGAAAAATCATTAGAACAGTAGCACACAACATGCATGCAGTCGATATATAACGAGGAAAATTACACTGTTCACCTACAAATTCTTTATCACTTCACATTTATCAATTTGTTATTTTGTTTTCTTTCAGGTCGAATTGTGGTTTATTTCTGTATTTGGGTCCGAAATCGCATTATTTTCTTTGAATATAACTAGTTTATGAATGGTTTTATCGTATTTTTCGCAAAACTTTCTCCAAAGAGAAAAAAATGTAGTAAACATGTAAAAATACTGACTGTCGAAAAACCTGTGACAACTTGAAGCCGATAAACATTATCGATTTGCGGCCCGTGTCTAAAAGCCTGCCCACTAATCCCGGCATACGAGAGCGTGCCCCCGACTGTGAGATGAAGATAATCGGTCCACGATTTAGGCGCCAGCCCTCGACCGAGGCTCTCGTGTAGTATTTTTATCCAGAGCTCGCCTGCCGACACGTCAACGTACGGGTTTAAATTTCCGGGCCCGCAAAAGAATTCCATGCCGCCATGCGGCTCGGAAATTAGCGAGTCCATGCGGACGATAATACCCCTCTCGGCCTGCGACTGCCCCTCGAAGGAGTGGCCGCTTCCTCGGGCGGCAACGGTCAGCTCCGATGTGGGGCCCATCTCAAAAACGTGTTTAACGACCCGAGAAATGTCGATGACCGATTTCGGAAGAAGGACGGCGAACGGCGTGTGGTTGTGACGGTTGCCAAAGTCCTTGGCCGCGTGCTCGATTTCGGATTCGTCGAACGAGAGGCGGCCGTCTAAACGCATCTCGACTGTCGATTTTTTATTTTATTTTTTATTTTTTTTTGGCTTCTCTCTATATGTTATGTTGGTGAAGGAATAGATGGTGTTAATAAGGGATATGGGAGCTAAGTTTGTGATGGGAGGTTTTTATAGAGTGAGCATTGAGGAGGATTATGTTTTTTCAAATGTGTAAAATGCATTATGAAGAAATAAAAGACATGTCTTTATAAAAAAATAAGGAAAATAACACTTTTATACAAAAAGAGGGAAAATTCGATTCTACCCATGTGGGCACTGCCACATGGGGTTTTTTACCATTGATTTCACACGCATCCATATGAGTGTGTGTGTGTGTGTTTATGTGTATATTAATGGTAAAAAATCCCATGTGTGCAGTGCACATGGGTAGGATCGAATTTTCCCAAAAAGAGACTCAAAATTTTGGACCTCCTAAAAAATCCTATTGGTATAGTTTTACCTTAGAAATTCACCTTCTAGTGGGGATACACTTTGTTAAACAATACATAAATATGAAAGAGTATTTGTAGTTGAACAAATATTTGTAGTATAGTTAAAATTTGTTCTTCTAGCTTCAATGCTTCATAGTATCATGAGTACATCTAACTTAAAATATATATATATATATATATATATA